TTGGGCCGCGGCCTCGTCAGGAGGCCCTATGGTGCCGGCCCCACGGGAGTTGGCAGGCAGCCCGAGTTCGCCTCAGGTGGGGCCGACTGGTGGGCGAGTGGCTCAGGCCACAGGCCATGCAGGACAGACCTCGGCAGCTGGCCTGCGTGATGGGGGGCCTGGGCCTGGTGTCAGATGACATTTTGTTTCTGGAGGACAGACACTGCCACTTCTCACCCATGTCCTCGTGTCCTGTGCACTGTGTTCTTTCTTTCTTCCTTTTTTTACAGTGACACACAGCTCACCAGGGTTGGGGCACAGGAGGGTGGTATTCTCCAACTGGCAGAGGCAATTTGGGCATGTGTCCTGACCCGGAATTGAACCTGGGACTCTTCAGTCCACAGGCTGATGCTCTATCCACTGAGGCAAACCAGCGAGGGCTGATTTTTTAATTTTTTTTTTTGAGAGGAGGAGAGAGAGAAAAAGATGGATTGGCTGCTTCCCGTATGTGCCCTGACTGGAAATCGAACTTGCAACTTTTTGGTGCACAGGATGACACTCCAACCAACGGAACCACCTGGCCAGAGTAGCCACTGTGGCTTTTGATACCAGGGTCCACGTCCTGGATTTGGAGATGTTTTCCTCCCTGGGCCTCTGTGGCACGTTGTCGTGGCTTCTCTCCAGCCTTTGTGACGCATGGCCTCCGGTCCCAGCTCTTTGGGAAATCCAGTCCAGTCCTCAGGGCTCAGTGGCCACCTCAGAACTGCCTCTCAGTACACTGGCTGCAGCCCAGCCTCTCCCCTGGACAGTCCCATGATCTCCCCTCATTCCAGCCTGTTCTCCTGTCCCCACATTTTAAAAACAGGTGCTCTGGGGTGTCGACCTGACTCTGCAGACACATCACATGGGCCACCGGATTGCAGACAGTCAGCAAGGGAAGGTGTTCCCGTGTTCTAGCTGGATGAGCAGCGGGTGCTGAGATAGGGATGCCTGGAGTTGGTCCCTGGAAGGCCTGAAGCGGCGGTGCCCTCCTGGTGGTGAGCAGAGGTTTGCTGTGGGGACAAAGCACCACGAGGTGGGAAGGGGAGGGAGGGGGAGAGTGCGAGGGCTGCCTGTGGAGGCCGGAGGGCAGGGGAGTAGCCATCAGAATGTCCTTTCCACAGAATGTTCCATTCCTCTCCTTCCAGTGCCTGCTGTCCGCTCTGCGCTCCGAAGCTTGCCTCGCACGGAATTGCCCTGCCAGCGAGTTTTAGCGCTTCCCCACGACCAGAGCTCCTCCATCGAGTGCAAGGCTCGGTCTGCCCGCCTCCACCCTCTCAGCCCCCAGGTGCAGCGCTCAATGCAACGGGGGCTGAACATGTTTCTGGACTCGGCCAGTCCTCAGGGCTCAGTGGCCACCTCAGAACTGCCTCTCAGTACACTGGCTGCAGCCCAGCCTCTCCCCTGGACAGTCCCATGATCTCCCCTCATTCCAGCCTGTTCTCCTGTCCCCACATTTTAAAAACAGGTGCTCTGGGGTGTCGACCTGACTCTGCAGACACATCACATGGGCCACCGGATTGCAGACAGTCAGCAAGGGAAGGTGTTCCCGTGTTCTAGCTGGATGAGCAGCGGGTGCTGAGATAGGGATGCCTGGAGTTGGTCCCTGGAAGGCCTGAAGCGGCGGTGCCCTCCTGGTGGTGAGGGACACTTGGTGCTGGCGGTGAGCAGAGGTTTGCTGTGGGGACAAAGCACCATGAGGTGGGAAGGGGAGGGAGGGGGAGAGTGCGAGGGCTGCCTGTGGAGGCCGGAGGGCAGGGGAGTAGCCGTCAGAATGTCCTTTCCACGGAATGTTCCATTCCTCTCCTTCCAGCGCCTGCTGTCCGCTCTGCGCTCCGAAGCTTGCCTCGAACGGAATTGCCCTGCCAGCGAGTCTTAGCGCTTCCCCACGACCACAGAGCTCCTCCATCGAGTGCAAGGCTCGCTCTGCCCGCCTCCACCCTCTCAGCCCCCAGGTGCAGCGCTCGGAACCACCTGGCCAGAGTAGCCACTGTGGCTTTTGATACCAGGGTCCACGTCCTGGATTTGGAGATGTTTTCCTCCCTGGGCCTCTGTGGCACGTTGTCGTGGCTTCTCTCCAGCCTTTGTGACGCATGGCCTCCGGTCCCAGCTCTTTGGGAAATCCAGTCCAGTCCTCAGGGCTCAGTGGCCACCTCAGAACTGCCTCTCAGTACACTGGCTGCAGCCCAGCCTCTCCCCTGGACAGTCCCATGATCTCCCCTCATTCCAGCCTGTTCTCCTGTCCCCACATTTTAAAAACAGGTGCTCTGGGGTGTCGACCTGACTCTGCAGACACATCACATGGGCCACCGGATTGCAGACAGTCAGCAAGGGAAGGTGTTCCCGTGTTCTAGCTGGATGAGCAGCGGGTGCTGAGATAGGGATGCCTGGAGTTGGTCCCTGGAAGGCCTGAAGCGGCGGTGCCCTCCTGGTGGTGAGGGACACTTGGTGCTGGCGGTGAGCAGAGGTTTGCTGTGGGGACAAAGCACCATGAGGTGGGAAGGGGAGGGAGGGGGAGAGTGCGAGGGCTGCCTGTGGAGGCCGGAGGGCAGGGGAGTAGCCGTCAGAATGTCCTTTCCACGGAATGTTCCATTCCTCTCCTTCCAGCGCCTGCTGTCCGCTCTGCGCTCCGAAGCTTGCCTCGCACGGAATTGCCCTGCCAGCGAGTTTTAGCGCTTCCCCACGACCAGAGCTCCTCCATCGAGTGCAAGGCTCGGTCTGCCCGCCTCCACCCTCTCAGCCCCCAGGTGCAGCGCTCAATGCAACGGGGGCTGAACATGTTTCGTGGACTCGGCAGGTCCTGGTGGCTCAGGACGGCGCAAAAGAAATATCTCCAAGCAACATCGACCCAATTTTCAAGGGAAGACATAATCCAACCTTGGAAACCTCCAAACACAGATGAAAACAGGATTTGGTTTAGCATTGAAGGACCTTACTAAGAAGTACTCTGACAAGCTAGAATGTTGTGGAAATGAAGTGGAGAAGATAATTGAAGAAAGATGATGCAAAACAATTGAGCTTGGCACAGGAAATGAAAATAGTAAGGCAGCAGGAGTGGCTATAATTGAGGTATTTTTACCTCCATGAAAAGATAGAAGAACCCCTTGGAAAACCAACTACACATCACCAGCAGAGACCTGAGGTCTGAAATAGCCAAAACCTTTGAATTTCAGAAAATTATGTCAAAATTGTCATATACAGTGGGGCCTTGACTTACGAGTTTAATTCGTTCCGTGACGGAGCTTGTAACTCAGATTACTCGTATGTCAAATCATTAAAGTGAACGAGTGAGACACGTGATGCTGGGCTGATGTTGTGGCATTCACTGTGACGTTCGCTGCGCCAACTCGCGATGGGGTATCTGAAGCTGGCTCGTAACCCGAATTTTAGCTCGCAACTCAAAGCAAAAAATCAGCCGAGAGATGGCTCTTATCTCGAAAGACTCATTAGTTGGGACACTCGTAAGTCAAGGCCCCACTGTATAAGAAACAACCTCAACTAGGTATGTTATGGAAAAGTGTGCAGAATTTTAAAATAGAGTTAATCCTATATAATAAAAGGGTAATATGCAAATCGACCTAATGGTGGAAAGACCAGTCTCTATGACACGAACTGACCACCAGGGGGCAGACACTCAATGCAGGAGCTGCCCCGTGGTGATCTGTGCGCTCCCACGGGGGAGGGGTGTGTGTGTGTGCTGCTCAGCCAGAAGCCGGGCATGTCTGGGAGTCAAGACAAGTTTGCCAAGTTTCAGACCAGGCTCATCTGACCCGGCTGTGGAGGGCAGTCAGCTGGTCTGGGTTCTTGAGTGACCGTTCTGGCGAGTGACCCCCGTCACCTGCCCAGCTCTGGTCCCCAACCAAGCTGGCCGTGCCCTTACCTGGGGGCAGATGAGCTGAGCGAAAGCAGATGGAGCCCTCAACACCCGTGGCAGCCGCTGGGGTCACAGAGTGGGGGGTGTGATGGGATGGAGGCAGCTGGCCAGGCCGTCCTGTTGCCTCAGCGGCTGATGTCCTTTCTGCCCCGAGACAGTGGCCGGCCCCATCCAGGGCAAGCACAGGGCCAGGTGCAGGAGCTGAGGAGCCAACGGGTACAGCTGGAGTGGCCCTGGAGGCAGCAGGTGTCACCGGGACAGGACAGGGACTCAGCTGCCTGTCAGGGACGAGAGCTCAGTCCAGCAGCTGCCAGGGGGGCAGTAGGGGTGCGCACTCCCAGCTCCCTGCTCACGGGGCCCTGAGACCCTGTGAGCAAGGCTGAGGCAAAAGTGCCTTTTTGTGACTTTGGTCTGGGAGCCGCATGCCATTTGCACAGCACAGGTCAGCCCTGCTGTGAAGGAGGGACCCTTCAAGGGCCTGGGAGACAGAGGTGGAGTGGGGGCCACCATGGGGGCAGATGGCCACACCGGGGAGGTGGGTTGCTGCTGGAGGGAGGGAGGGAGAGAGAACAGACTCCCTTCTCGTCTTGAACTGCTCAGCCTCCTCGGAGTGGGGCTCCAGGGCCGGTGCTGGTTGGGGGAGTGAGCAGCACCTGGCATGTGGTCCCCTCCCCCCTGTATCTCAGTCCCAGCTCCTCACCCAGCGACGTCAGGATCTGCCTTCCCATGCCCATCGCGGACGCCACAGAACATGGACAGTTCACGGTGTTTTCTCTGGGCATGGGGGGTGGGGGCTGCACAGGGAAAGAAAACAAAACTGAAGAAACACACCTTCCTTCCTTAAAAAAGCATGAAATAGAGAAAAGAATAATGGATACTTATCATTGAAACCACCTAGTTCACGTAGACTCTCTTCACAAGCCTGGTCACGGCAAGGGAAGGGTCTTTTCTTTTGTTTTCTTTATTTTTTTAATGTGTTTTTTATTGATTTCCAAGAGAACGGGAGAGGGAGAGAGAGAGAAACATCAATGAGAGAGAATCATTGATCGGCTGCCTCTTGCAGGCCCCGCACTGGGGATCAAGCCCACAACCCGGGCATGTGCCCTGACCAGGAATTGAACCCTGACCTCCTGGTTCATAGGTCGATGCTCAACCACTGAGCCACACCTGCCGGGCTGGAGAGGGAAGGTCATGGTTCCAGGTCCTGGGTTTGGGTGCCCCCTTCAGGAACCCTCCTCCAGGAACAGGTGCTGTGCTAGGTCCCTCAGGCTGAGGGGCTGACGGGCCCTCTCCGCGTGTGCCTGCTCCCTGCATTGACGTCTGCTCTGTTGTAAGAAAAGCGGGGCCTCTGGTTGCTATCGCCCCCCTCGCCTCCCCAGGCAGACGCTTACCTGTTCCCTGGAGCCTCACTGGACTCCCACCCATGGGCCCATGAGGGTCGGTGCTCCCGGCCTCGGTGGACGTTACCTGTGAACCGGTGTCCAGGATGACCGACACGGCATGCCTGCTCTGCTCCCGCGGGTCCATGGCCCATCAGACTCCCCGTAAGAAACGTGCAATTAAGGATTTCAGACGGGTCAGGGGAGGGTTAGACCCGCGGACCCAGGTACAAGGCCAGCACCAGGAGCTGCTGCGAGGTGGGCTTCGCACACACTGTGAGGTGAGGTGCACCCAGCAGCTCTCAGCAGGGTGGCGCGGGCCTTGTGTCCTGGTCACTCTCAGTGCTGCCTGCCCAGGCTCAGTGAGAGGGGGTGGCCGGGGGGAGGCGCATGCCTGACCCCACGCCTCCTGCTCAGGCAGCCGAGTCCACACAGAGAGCAGTGGGGCTGCTCGAGCTCTGAACTGGCTCCCGGGCCCCCACTCCCTCTGCCTCCCTTGTCACCTCAAGGCCTGGCAGACGCTGTTCACCGAGAGACGCGCGTTTTAGTCACCCGGAGCCAGAGGCACCGGTGCTGACCCCACTCTGGATGACGCACCAAAGGCTGGGTCACCCTCCCACTTTATAGATTGGAAAGAGGCACAGAGACGTTGGGGGTCT